ATGTGCAATAGCTGAGCTGGACATCTATAACCAACAGTCCAAATGTTACTCAAAACACAGATTATCATTTCAGAAACATCTGGTCTGATGTCCAGTGTAACACAGATCACTTTTGAATTAACTTGTGTTTTAACTACAGCATCTGCTGAGAAGTCCAGTTTGTATCTAGAACCAACAGCTCTTGTACAATTACACTGATAAAAATGTATGGTCTGGATTTGTTTATCCACAAAGGCCAGCCAATGAACCTTTCAAAGAAATTTCTATTCTCCTTGCACGTTCTTTTTAAAAAGAAAGCTTGCTCTGTCTGTCTACTCTTTGTTAAGCCAAATAAGATTTCTCTTGAGATCTTCAAGAGAAGATCTCTCAATCCTCCAATGTTTTTTTATGTTTCACCTCTAATCTTTCTCATCTCTCAGCTTGCTCCTTGAATTCTGAACAGAACTAAATATACTATTTGTGCACAACACAAAGAGTTATTACTTACATTTTCTGTCCTAATAGATACACCCTGCCTATGGATATCACTGCCCTTTTAGGCAAAGTATCACACTGAGAGCTCATTGTCCCTGAGAATACTTCACAGAAAAACTACTTCCCAGGAAAGTACTCTCCCCATTATCCATTCTTTGTTCATATAAATATAGATAAAATCCATACACTTGGCAACTCTGAAGCACACGCAGTTTGCTAACACTGTTCAGCGCAGTCAGCATCCAAGAGGGAGGCAGGTAGCTCAAAGAACAATTCTGAGCACAAGAATAAGTATTCCTGACTCCTCCAGTGATCTACTTTCTGTCTGACATGTTAGCATTCAATATCCTTGGCATATTCAGCACAATATTAGAGTCATCTGCACCTATGTTTTTGCCACAGTAGCTTCACGTATTGCTTCAGTATAAAAAGGTTTATTTAAATAAAATATACACAGAGATGCCCTGGATGTCACAGGAGACCAGTCCGACTCTTTGGTCAATAGATCCTTCTCTTTTCAGGTCAGGCACACACATCCTTTTAAAGTGCTTCTTAATGACTTGTCTATGTGCTTCTATGGTTTTTCCTGAGCTGCTGTTCATTCAATCAAGCAACTTCAGATGATGTCCAATTTCTTGTGTTTGGATTCAGCTTCTAGAGGACCTTCAAAACCATGGCTCAGATTTGCCTGGCTTGTATGTAACTTTTGTTTGGCTGATGGCTTCCATTTTTCCAGTCATTTTATGCTGTTCTCTGCCTTTCTGTTCTGAGAGGGCCAGGTGTACCTCTGAGGAGTATTTCAGCCCAGCCAGCTGCACTGCAGTGAGTCCTTCTAGATGACTGATCAGGTTGGATGAAATATCCCCCCCCAAAATGGAGGTAAAGCAGGTTAAAGCAATTCTTTTATCACATTTCACTAAACTCTTCCTGTTAAGCAACATGATCTATCATAACCCTTCAGATTTCTATTTTAAGCCCCACCTTCATTTATTCAATCTTTTTCACTTATGATTCATACTATATTTTCCAGAAGTATTTCCTGCTCTTCTTCAAAAATTCAGCTTGTTTTGACTGTAGTCAAAGCTACTGCATGCACTGTGATAGCAAATGCTTATTGTGTAGTATATACAATGGTGTGTATACATTAAAAGACTGGGGTCTAATTTTTGACAAACTTCTGCTAATAGACATAAGCATAGCACAGACAATATTCAGGTTAAAAAAAAAGATCTGGAAGTTAATTAAAAATATTTCAAAATTGATTCTGAAATTCAAATGAGTTCTCTGGCTCTTATTCAGAATGCCATTTGAGAAGAAATCCCGATCTAGTTCTTTTCTACCTTTTTTGTCTGCAAAAACAAAAATAATTTGCAATGTCTGTGAAAAGGAAAGTGCATTTGCATATACACTGGATTCAGTTCCTTACTAGATGTCTTTCTTTGCCTGGAAAATGTATTTCCTCTTGTAAAGACTCGGCCTCCTTGTGTAGAGTTTTGTTTGAAACCACCCAAGAACAGCTCACATAAATAGTGCACAAGTAAGCACAACAGGCTCAGCATCCTATAAGCAAAACTCTTTACTCTGCTAAGCTGAATTTTTTCAGTTTTTGGCAGAAAGATCATATTAGAATGCCAATAAATGTACATTCAAGCCAAAGGGCTTTTCTCAGCTAAAGATTTACATGGGCCTCCTTTGTATCAGCCACAAAAGTATTTTAAGAGTTTAGAAATTCTAGAAGCTTTACTCCTGCCTTAGTCAGCCACTCAAGATTGATCCTCATTAAATCCCCTGACATGTAATATACTGCAGTGTACAAGAAGCCCTTCATTACTTCTCCATGCTTAGAAGGTAATAAAACCATTTCAAAGGATGGAAGTAGGAACTATTGCAGGTGTTTCCTTACCACTCCGTGCTGAGCCAGGAAGGTCGTGCTAATGCAGTTTGAATGAGTCAACGGTACAGTAATGACTTGAGAAAAAGCATTTTTAGATTCCAGTTAGGAGGGTTTCTGCTCTTGCAGAAGGTTTAGGAAGGAATTTATTTGAAATGCAGGATGGGCTCTGGAGATACTAATTTAGTTTCTAACTCAGTTACCAAATTCTGTCACTATGGATTTAGCAGGTGACTGCACATCTGCTGAGCTGGGCTAACTGCCATGGGTACACTCTGAAAAATAAAACTAAGCCTACAGTTTCTTACACAGCCTTTGCTTCTCAACTTGTGAAATGGAGAAACAGAACATTGTCACACTTATTTTATTTAATAAATGTGGACTTCTGGGATGTCAGGTGAAAGCCATGCCCCAAAAGCTATTTTCCTACCATAATTTAAACAGGAACTATTTTCATTTTCCAAGAGTCAGAACAGATGTATATCAGACTCAGCTAAATACTGGGAATATTTCTGAAATATATTTAGAGAATGTGCATGCAGAAGTACAAATTTCTCTGACATCTTAAAATTCAGTATTTTAAAATGTTTTTTACAATGAAGCATCAGTATTTTGATTCATAAAAGTGGCCATGTTTGTGAGCACATGTACTGCAATATTAGTAGAATGAACATCCGTCTAGTAAGACATCCAGGTTGCTTTAAAATGGGACTAGATTCTTGATAATTATATACTCATGGACAAATTAAATGTCCATTTGGACCCCTCTCTTCAGGCACTCCTCATGGATCCTTGTTCATCTTTGGTTGTGGCCCCTTCTTACCTGTGTAATTAGGAGGGCAGAGACAGACATAGTTGTTGATCCCATCCACACATGTAGAGTTATTCTCGCAGTCATTATCTTCACAGTCATCTGGGTTTATTTCACACCTCTCCCCCTCATACCCAAGGACACAAGCACAGCTTTGGAGAAAGAAAAAAATAAAGGTTAGCAAGAATCTGAAGGGGCAGTAGGTTTAAGGTATAAAACGAAAATTAAAACATACAAAATTGAGTTGCTGGAGCCAAATTCACTGCTGCTGTGAAGTACAGAGCACTTTAACACTATGTGTTTCATGAAGGATGCAGTCTGATGGTTCATGAGGTCATGTAATTATTTACAAAAGACATAAAAGCATCAGCAGGAGACAGCCTCTGTCATGCTTCCCCCTGCTTGCTTTGTTGATAAGCCTACCCCTGAACTGAAGTTAGCAACTCCAGGGCAGGAGAGTAAACACTCATCACAATATTCAAATCCTCGGCTTCTCTGTTAGTGATTTTGTGAGCATGTGGATACTTGCCTTCTGAGAATGGCACAATCATAGGGCAACTTGGCAGCTTTTAGACAGCTTGCTGTCTTTAAAGAACAACGGCTTGAATTGAGTTTACAGACATGAACATTTTCTTCTCATTACCACTTTGTCACTTGTCCAAACAATAAATGTTTGGGAGTGATTGCTTTTACAAGCGCAGTAAGGTTTCAGTACTTCTACAGCTCCTCCAGCATCTATTTGTAGAAGAGCTGATGAAGTTTAGGTAATCCAGTTAAAAAACACACAAACAATGGTAGAGCTAGGAATGGGTCTGTGAGGATGTGGACACTACTGAAGAAAAATTGCACTAAATATTTTATCTCACAAGACCATGATGTATGGTCCCTTCAGGGAGTGTAAGGAACTAAGTGGTTATGAAATGACTTTAATTTTTTTTCAGTCTCCATTTCCTCTCTAGATCTAGAAGTTACGGTTGCTAAGAGAACCTTTGTATTTTAAACTAGCTGTAAGTGATGAAGAGGTGGAGGCCACAGTTTCCTAAAAGAGAGTCTAAAAACATGTGTTAAGTGCTCCAGACATTTCAGTGGCTTCTAAGAAGCCAGCGCTGTTCACTAGTCACAGAAAGCATGTGTGTGGAAGGGAAGGTTTGTTTCAAGTCTCAGTCCAAACTACACATTCACTCAGCTGTTCATTTCCTTTCCCATGCAAATTCTGGTGGCAGAAAAGGAACTGAACAAATGTAAAGCAGTACTGATTGATGAGGATGAAAACCAAAAAGCACCAGAGCAGTCACACTAATAGCCATCCATTGCTTTCTGAAACCAGGAGAATTTCCACTGCAGAGAGAGCTGCGGGGTACTTTTTTTCAGCTCAGATGGACAAAGTGGATATGGGGCAGTTATCCTGCTTCCTAGAGGTGTCATGGGGTTGAGGTGGGGGATACCCTGGAGAAACTTCAGAATCTATGAAGAAAACTGCAGCACTCTCAGGCTGGTTGCTCTCAGTATGACACTTGTTTCTCTTCCTCCTGTGTGCCACAGACTGAGCACAGCACAGGGACTTTCAAGGCAGGGATGGCACAGGGCTCTGCATCCACCTTCAGCAGGTCCTATCCTTAGGTTGGACCCTAAGGATAAGGTTAGATTCTTCATTATAGAGGCAACCTTAGAAACTAAGGGAATAATAAAAAGGGAAAAAAAAAAAAAAAGTAGGGAATGTGTCTTAAGCTACCACAACTGTAAGATCTTTTAGATAGGTACTGAACAGGCATATAGGTCACATGCTAACAGTCATCTTCATTCAGTTCTGCAGGGACCATTCACAGGTCATGAGAGTTAGAAAACCTTCACCATGAATAACCAAAACCAAACTGCTCAAATGAATCCAATTTAGGACACAATAAATCAATAAGAAATATTTTCTTTTCCTGTCTCAAGCTCATTATTGCTAATAAAGAATGTCCTCTTGCTGACCCTGCAATGGTCCGGAGTATCACAGAAGGGAGATAAGAAAGAAGAGCTGGCACACCATCTTTTGTGGCAATGCAAGTGTTGGGGAGGGGGTTAAAGACATCTAATTAAATACAGTGGCACATTCATCATGTCTCCCTTTTCAATCACAAAACCCCATTTTCAGGGGTTTATAACTCAGTCATAAAAATATGCTCCAGGCTGCAACTTGGCATCCAAGGTCTCAGTTTGGGAGCACAAATTTTTCTCTCCATTTAAAGAAAAGCAACAAGAGTGGCTTTGTGCTGGTTATTTTTATGTGAATATAACACCATTTTCCTTCCACAAAAGGATTGGGACAGCTTGGATGTATGCAATTAAAAATGACATTATTAAATACTATCACAGTAATGGTTCAACTCAGTAGAGTTACCATTAGTAACAATACATATGGGATTGTTAACATACAATTGCTCAGTATTAGGACACATTCCATACTGAAGGAAATGTCAGCATAATTTATGACTTTTGGCTATTGGTCCCTATGTATTATAGGGAGTCTTTACATTATTGCTTATGTATGATTCTTTATTTTGATTTGCATTCAAATGTGCCAGATATGAGGACTGAAATTAAAAGATAAAACATACAATTTGGGACCCAGATTGAACCATATGTTGAAAGAGTTGCAGTTTGGGACTGTTTGTATGTATTTTCCCAGAAAAAGCTTAGAAGAAAAACGAAGTTTGCAGAGTGACTGGAAGGTCATCAAACTGGGGTTCCAGCTGACCGAGAGAGAAAATTAATTCCAGAGACAACGATGAAAACTTTGTACTGACTAAATAGTGAAGCAGTGTGAGACAGCATTTCATGTGGACCTCAGAAACAATGGAGCCACACAGTAAAGAACTATTTTCTAAGATGCTCTGATCACATAAAGGTCAAAATTCCCCTTTCCTCCAGTTCAGGGATTTTCTGTTAGTGTTGTGTTTTCCTAAAAATAAAGAACTAAATAAAACCCCATTATCCTCATGAACACGCAAGAGAACACAGAACTTTATAACAACATTTTGGGGATAAACTTTTGGAGTTGAAGTATAGTGACAATTTTAAAAGCTTACTATATTCAATCTTTTTTTTTAATAAACTCTAATGAACAGTTTACCATCTGATTATTAAAACAGGCATACATACAGTGTATCACATTTCAAAAAACCCCACAAACTTTTAAATAGAGATAGTGAATTCTTTCAGCAATATTACAGTTTCATGGTAAAGGAGCTTTTTGCATCTACATTCCAATGGAATAGCCTGTAAGTGCAACATTTTTCCTTGAATTTCCAGAATTAATACCAGGGAGTTAATCAGTTCCAGGATTTTACAACGATACGGAAACTTAAAGTTTGTGGAAAATGCTAAAGAAAATGCTCTGGAAAATGGAGTGGGTTTTATATAGAGAAAAGGTAAAATAATCCAGACTCTGCTTCCCAGCAGTGTAGGTTATCAAGGATCAGCTGGTTGCCTGTGGCTAACTGAAGCAGAGCTGACAGCTCTGCCTCCTTTCTCAGAGTCTCACTCACAGTCATGCTAAATGAGAAGGACATGTCTGATTGACCATCTTTTTTCACCAGTCTCAATAAGTACCTCTTTTGGAAACCTTTTGTCAAAGAAGACACAGATTAGATTAGATTAGATTAGAATGAGCAACTCAAAAGGAGGAACAACATCATGTTTCTATTCCCCAGAGCCACATGATGTCACTTAACTGTTCTTCAATAAAGAAGTCATACCTACCTGAAAAAAGAGAATGTGAAAATTACTCAGAATTTAAAAGATGCAAGAATAAAAGATGCCAGGAAGGATTGAAGAACTCCAGCTGAACCTTTGCCCTTCAGCTGCCCCACCAGGACCTACTATTACAACAAACCTGAGTGTCTCGATCCCCTGCTGCTGTGAGCCCTTGTGGGTACCAGGCACAGCAGGCAGGTCAGGCTGGAATCTCAGTCATAACTGTGAATTTCCTGTCTTTGCCTGCGGAACATCACCACCTTAGCATTATTTAAAAGGTAATTTTCTTGTCTAAGGCTACAGAAACTTGAGAGTTAAACTGCTTGGCATTTCATAGGGAGAGAGCTTTGGCTTAAGTTTCCTTTTTACAAGAGTAAAGATTTGACAAGTTTGGCAGCAGAGCTTGTGTATGAATATATTTCCCTAGGGAAGAGAATATACAGAAGATATAATTTCTTTTACAGGCCACACAACACAAAAATCCAAGGAGGCCTCTCATGAAAATGTTTTTGACATCCACTTCCTCACAGCATATAATCTACGGCAACGTTTTCCCGTCCTGATGAACACAATTTATATGCATGTAACGCCAACTGCTGCCATCCACTGGAGAAGAGATTTCCCACCACAAAAACCCAAACCAGCCAACCAAACAAATTCAATCTCAAAATGTTTCTTTATCTTCCCTGTCACTGACTGTTCCATTCTCACACCATATTTCTCTATGATATGCTAAAACTCCACACTTCTCTTCTCCAGAGCAGCTGGGGCTATGGACTCACTGAATTAAAAACATGGAGGAAAAATAGAGCAATGCATAAGCTGAACATTCAATTTTATGAAGCAAGATTTTGACGAGATATGGTTTTATGTGTCTTTTATTAGACCAACTGAAACTATATAAATAACTATAAAAGCAGAAACCTTCCCTAAAAAGCCTCAGATGCTGTTAAGCAACAAAACCACCCCTGCAGTTTTATAAAGGATCTCAAAAATGACGTTCATTTGGAATTGAAGCAAAGCCTCTGAAATTGTAAAATTCTTCATGAGAAAAATTCAGAAGTAGTTTTCATTTCAGGTCATTCAAAACTTTTTACTTTCTACCATAGAACAAAACAAAAATGCTAAAGAAAAACTTGATCCAAAATATAAGTTGAAGCCTTTCATTCTACTATTATGGATATTATAAAATGTTTTACTAGCACATTTTTAATATCAGCTAGATTTTTGAAAAATGAGTAATGAGTGACAGAAAACAGATATTCTAATATGGTACAATTCTGCCTTGGCACAAACTTGAAAAAGCTATTTAAACAGTATTACACAAGAGTGACCAGAAAGGAAGACAAATCAAAGGCCACCAGACTATTTCTCTCAAGCAGGAACTGATCCTGAACTTTTCCTGAACTGCTAAAATCTCAATGAAGAAGTATTTCACTAAAATCTCGGGGGGGTCTGTCAAGTAGCATGACTCTTTGCATGTGCTATGATCTGCAGAGTCTCCTCACCCTCTCCCACCACCATGCACCAGTATGACCTTACAGATGCATCTCTACTCAGGCAGAGAGACTCTCTGCTCTGCTCAGGACCCTGTCACAGGTGCTGAAGCTGAGCTCTCAACTGCCCCTCACAGAGACATGACCATGTGTTTTACTCCTGATCTCCCACATTTGAAAGCCTCAGGTTGTTATTCGTAACAGAGCCTGACAGTGTCCCTTCGTCCCCATCAACCTGCACTTTTCCACTGTACTATCATCAGTGTCCTCTGTGTCCTGGATCTGTTTCTGTAAGGGGGCAATTCTTGAGGGTGGGCAGGCACAGAGACAGAGAGAAGCTTTGAGGCATTTCTTCTGTTTTCTGTTTCCCTATTCATCCCATCCAAAAAATGGAAGCTCTTCTCTGCCTTATTTTCGCATGAGGGATTTGGCGAGTCAAAAAGAACCCACAGTGCTTTTCTGGAAGTATAAAAGGCATTCTACCATGGGTAGGGGGGAACAAGAGGGGGGTGCAAACCTCTCACTGCACCTAGAGTCCTGTCAGTCACCCAAACTTTCATCTGGCCCTTTCTGTTTTGAAAAATCCTATTTTCTGACATAAGATGATATGGGTTTGCTGACTTGGTTAACAAACAGTTAACCTCAGTTACAGACTGAGGGGGTGACCTTAATGTTTATAAATATGTAAAGGGCAAATGTCAGGAGGATGGAGCCAGGCTCTTCTCAGTGATGTCCAATAGTAGGACAAGGAGCAATGGGTGTGAGCTGGAACACAGGAGGTTCCACTTAAACTTGAGAAGAAACTTCTTTACTGTAAGGGTGACAGAGCACTGGAACAGGCTGCCCAGGGAGGTTGTGGAGTCTCCTTCTCTGGAGACATTCAAGACCCGCCTGGACACTTTCCTGTGTAATCTCATTTAGGTTCCTGCTCTGGCAGGGGGATTGGACTAGATGATCTTTCGAGGTCCCTTCCAATCCCTAACATTCTGTGATTCTGTTGGAACAGTCCTAATCACAGTTGAAGCCAAACTAGAATCAAACTGAAAAAATGTACAGGTTTGACTCCGTGCTTACACTATTTATAAACCTTGTAATTCTGTGTCTCCCTCCAGCTGTCACTGATAGGAAGCTATATATAGGAGAAGACAAAGCAGTGGCATCAGTAATGTATAAAAGCTTTTAGAAGTGAGACTTCATATATGCAATTGAAACAACAGCATGGTGTACTTTTGTATGTATTTTGTGCAAGAAATAGCATAAATACTAAGGACCAAATCTATGAAAATTTCAGCAACTCTTTTCTAAAAAATAAAATAAAATAAAATAAAATAAAATAAAATAAAATAAAATAAAATTCTATCAACTTTAATGACAAGTCCCCAAAGCCTCAAACCTGTATTTTCCTAGCTGTAAAATAGTGCCTGTAGCAGCACAAATCTCCCAGTTATCTCATGAAAATTTCTGGACTTCTCTTGGAGTATCCCCACCTATGCTACATCTTTCTTTTATGGGAAAACTGAAATCCATTATGTCCACCTGTAAAGGTTATTCTCTTGCAGGCACAATGTTCAAGATGTGTCAACCTCATCATGTTTTTCAATTGTTTCTTTAAAGCCTGTTTGTCTACAAGATTTTTCAGTATGAAAACATTTTGCATCTGGTTGTCAAGAAACAGAAGTTTAGTTTACAAACACAAAGAAGGGTATATGTGAGTTTGAAATGCCCTGAGGAAAATTAGCGTACAGATAACACAATGCAGATCAGGGAGACTGCTCAAAATAGCTCTTAAGAGTATATTCCATTATGAGAAAATAAGGAGGCCTGTTTCAGAGGAAACAATATGTTGCACCAATGAAAACCAATTCATTATTTTGTATAGCAAATAGATGTGCCACATGCAGCAGCTTTTATAAAGTAGCCATTATAGTTCATTAATACAAAGAAGAAACACATTCAATTGTATCACCTCTTTTTAAATGAACTTTGTGTTACTACCTGAATCCATCTTTATTTGCCTCGGCGAGGTGGCAGGTCCCTCCATTCTGACACGGATTTTGAATGCAAGAATTAATGGGCACACTGCAGTCTCGACCCTATTTGGGAAAATTCAAAATAAACAAGGTTAGTAAAACTCATGTAATCTGAATCAGTCTCTTGCTCCCTCACCCTATGCATAGCCCCATTTACAGGAGGTCTGTGGTCTTCAGACCCATCACATCACCTCATGTCCTTTATTGATGGTCAGATATATTAATCACTTAAGTGAGAATTTGGGCAGGGCAACTGTTCTGACCAATGGGACTGGTGGGTACCTTGGTATTGTTTCAGTTCCAAGATTCCAGTTAACTCTTTCATTTAACTGTTTTAAGGAAACAGCTGGTTTTACCTTTACTCTCACGTGCTTTAATCTCTAATGTTGGTTACAATGAAAAGAATTAATCACTACCAAAGGTAAGCAGAAGGCCACACACAGTCAGCACAAGACCACATAGCGTCAGCACTCATTCAACCGCATTTACCAAGTGCTCAGTTAAACACTGCAACAGGGCACCATACTCATTACTGCACACTGTCAAAACCTAAAGGGGAAAATTCATTTTTATCATGGCAGCTGAGTTTCAATTTCTGTACAGAACACACTGGATCCTGTTTAAGATATCATCATTGAATCAGTTTCCTTCTTAAATATTGTCCTAAAATATACATCAGATCCAACTGAACTGCTTTTCAGTTACACAGTAGGATGGCATAAAGACACCTGAAAGCCTCAATACTCAAGGCATCTGTGCAGTCACAGGAAGTTCAAGAGATCTCTCTACTCTTCCTCCTGCAGATCCTGTAGCAGTGCCAGCTCAACTACTGGAAAGTTGATACATGACTGCAGTCAAGGTGAGAAAATTATCTCAGGAGATATATTAATTCAGTCAGTGTTGCTGGGTTTTTTTGCCTTGGTTTAAACCCCATTTTTTACATTGTACTTTAGAGGAACAACAATGGTATACCTAAACAAAGAGGGCAGATGCCAGCCCATGACATCAATTCATTACAGTTTAAGTTTTGTGTATTAGTATTGAACACTACCCCGCTGCTGCCAACTTTCTTTGCTGACAACGTTAATCAGAAGTCATTCCTTTTTCCACCAAATTTGCAACAGCTTCCAACCCTTATCAGACTTTATGTACCTTGTGTGATGTACCCAAGCAGGGGACATTCAGATAGTTTCTACAGTCTCAATTTTTTATGATGGCTGTGTTGTCAAAATGAAGCATCTTCAGGTTTACAAATTCATGGAGGTGGTGAATTCAGAATTTGTCACACACTAAATCCCACAGCAGTACAGAGACACTTACTTATGTTAGAAGATGAGCTTAATAGAGATGAAAGAAGATACTTCTTCCAAAGTATGAGCTTCTGGGATGTTTTTGCCACAGGAGATTGTGAAGTAAGATAGTATAAAAGCCATTAGACAAATTCACGTACAATGACCCAAACCAGGTATGAAAGCCATAGGCAGTCATCAACATCCCTAGTTGGATGATGGTGGGTGCTGGGAGAACTGGAGAGGAGTGGTGGCCAGGCTTGTGTATTCTCCTCAAATAGTAAAGATTTGCTGCTGCCCCCATGACAGACAGAATCATAGAATCATAGAAGCAAAGAATGGTTTGGATTGGAA